ACACAATAAAGACAAGAGAAGTAGCAAAGCGTCAACTGAAATTATAGTCCCAGGATGTCTGCGTTTCCCCTACATAACATGTCCAAATGATGCCAAGATAAGAAGTCTCATTATTCAAGACAGTATCTGGTCTCAGGCATCTGGTCCTTAGTGATCACAAACAGGAAGAATGCTGGTCAGCTTCATCTGGTCCTGTAGTACTGACACAGGAAGGGGGCATTCTTAGTTCACTCAGAGAGAAAAGTTAATTGATTCAGGTTTTTGGCCCTTACTAGGGCTCAATTGATCTTAAATGATTATCAGTCCTGTTTGTTTCCATTAAGGGGCTCAGATTGCTTAAGAACCTAGCCAAGGGCTCAGATTCTTAATAAGGTAGCTAATAGCTCACAAATGTTCAGATTCCTTAAAAGTCTGGCCAATATGGTGGCTCTTTAATAAATTTTGTCTTTGGCTGAAAGAAGGCTTGGGTAGAATTCATTCGGGCAGGACCGTGTTTTGGAGATCCCAGCACCCCTAAACCTCTTAAACCAACACCCCCAGAGTATCTAGTTTCTATTAGCCATAAACAAGGGGGTATTGTAAGTATAAGTGTCGTAACAGGATGAAGTCCATAAAATAAAATAGGAGAAGTATGGTTAATCAAGATAGTGTCTGGTTCAAGGTAGCTGCTCCTTATCAGTCGTAAACAAAAGAATGTTCCCAGTGTGAAAAATTATTCATAACCAATATGTTGGCGATTCAGAGGTTTACCCAGGCCCCCTTCTCCCAAAGTGGACTTTAAGTTCAGTTTTTCTTTAGAAGGACATTTCTGATAATGAGATTACATTGACTCTCTTTATCCTGGTCAAACCCCAACCCAAGCTTGCAAGTAATTTTAATCTAAAGTAAGGAAACCCCATAGTGTTCTCCTCAAGCTTAGGTGAAGACAGATTCTTCTGTCTGGATGTTGAGGCTTAGCAGTTTAGAGGTGCTGGGACCCCAGAATCATGACATGCAGATCCTGCTCGAATGAATTTGACCAAAGCCTTCTTTCAGCCAAAGACAAGGCTTATTAGAACATCCATGGGGGTGAGTGAGATTTAAAGAATCTGCCCTGTTGGCCAGATTCTTGAGGAATCTAAGCATTTTATCGCTAATGCAAGTGGGCCAGATCTTAAAATCTGAGCCCCTTAATGGAGGCAAGATGGACCTTATATACAGAAAGATTGTGGGAGGGATCCAGGACTGGCCAAATAGTCTGGGGTGACTGGAGGAGGGGTCTAACAAGGATATAGATGGGAGTGGCCAATAAACTGGGGTCAATGGAACTCCAAGGACTTGGACCAGGTGGCCCAGGGAGAATGGAGTCTAGATAGGATTAAGGATGGAAAGTGGCCAGGGGCAATTGGGAGGTAACAGAACAGAATTGAGAGATTGGGTATAGCCACAATGAAAGGCCAGTTGATAGGATTATAGCCTCAGGTGAATGCCAGAGATTTGACCAGGTGGGAAAGTCCAGAGTTTTCCTTTTTGGGGTCCAGATTCCAGAGACATGGTCTTTTCCTTTTAGGGGTTCAGATCCCATCCCCATCATAGATAGCCCAAATCCTGGGGGTGGTCTGATAGAAGAGGCATTTTCCCTGTCTGGAGGTAAAATGATGATGGATCATGTCAGCCCCTGCTGAAAAGGTATATAAACTCTACATCCCAACCCCAAAATGAGCTCAGTTCCAACACTGCAGCTCCATGCATATGCATGCCACTCACTTTGAGAGAAATAAAACATGGATTTGGACAACATAACTCTGTCTTTCTTAGACTAAACTCTGAAAGGTTGATACTAGTCAGCTTAATTTGGGATTCAGTCAGAGTGCATTTTAAAGGTTCTCAAGCGGGGTTCCACAGAAAACTAACTCACGCTTCAGACATTTCAGTGCCACCAATGAGTTCTGGTAATGTTAATGTACTTCCCTCAGTGGGCACTGTCCCTGCCTGGTGCTTCCCTGGACTCTACTGGTCTTGTGGTGATGGATGGTTCCATAGTCTCCACAGTGCTAGGATTAGGGTATGTACTAGCTTCTAGGTTCATCTTCTCAGGGTCACCCCAGCTTTTCTGTGCTAGAATAAAATTGCTAGAACCTCTCCCAGTTCAAAGCAGGTTTACAGAAACTTTAAAAATAGCCACTCCACCCAGCTAACAAGAGCAAAATAGAATTCCTCTAGACTAAGATTATTAGGTCTTTCCTTTTCAACTTGATCTGGGTGGAGAGTAAAGAATTCTGCACAGATAACTATCTAATTTAGGGTTACACAATCTGAATCCTCTTCACATCCTCTAAGGCAGGCCTGCATAACCTGAATGTTTTTAATGCCTCCCCAAACCACCCCCCATCCCCTTGAAATACCACCAACTTCTTCAGTGAACAACATAAGTCTCCAATATGAAAAATTCAGCTAGTTTTAGTTGTGTCCTGATACTGCTGTGACACCCAATGTTCCCACTGTGATCTTGTTTCCTTTGATGAGGTCATGCAGGCTCCCCATAGAACCTGACTTAGTCTGAATTAGGGTTTTTATCAACTTTCCTTGATCGTGAACTTTAGATCACCTTCATTTTAAAGCTCTCTTCTCAGTTTTTGTTTTTTGGGTCTGTCCATTACACAAACTGTGCAAACTGAAATGCAACAGAAATAGGATTCCTCAGACTGCGGAGTTTTCTGAGCTTCCTGCGGAAGGAGGTCTCATAACAAGAACGATAAACCTCTCCCATATTAGAGAAATCTTTCTGGTTCTGGTTCGTAAAGGGCTTCCTTCCTTTAATGTCTCCATTGGCTATAGGATACGATGTGTCAGCTGATGTAACAGTCTCAATTTTTTCCGCATGTTGTGCATGTCTGCTCTAAGGCTTAGCGTTACAAATGAATCTGATTTAGCACAAAAAATAAGCTAAAGAGGCTAAGTCAGTGTTATTCACCCACCTAGCCTGCATTCTGGTCTTAATTATGATTATCTATCAGCTGCAAAGCTTTGGTGTTTGGTGCTGAATTCTGAGTTTTGGAAAGCTTTTTTATCTTCCCATATCCAGTTTGGTATTGCTTGCAATTCTGCTTTGTGTACAGACAACTGATTTGGAAATAACTCCTACAACAGTAATCAGATGTTTTTTGTTGTTAAATTTATTTCAGTTTTTTTTTATAATGTTACTTGATGCTCACCTACCATACACAGAACCTCCCAACTTTTCTTGAAGAAACTATTCGTGATCTATAGGATTAAGGCTTCTGTATAGTCTAGACATCTTTGCTTTTTTCAATGAGTTACTTTGAACCATGTTTCAAATCTATTTTTCACCATCCTCCCCAATACCTGCCTTTCCACTGAAGTCACCAAGTATTAAAGTGTATGTTTTTTCCCCTTTTTTAAAATTCAATTTTATTTCATTTTCACTTCCAAATTTTCTTCTTTCCTTATCTTCCACCCTTATCATTGAGAAATAAAGAAAAGCAAAACTGGTTACAAATATATATAGTAAAGCAAAGCAAGTTCCCATTTTAGTCAAATCAAATCAAAGAAGAAGAAGAAGAGAAAAAAATATGTTTCAATCTGTACTCTAAGTTAATTACTTAATTACTTCTCTATCCAGAGGTGGATGGCATTGTGTGGGATGCCACTCAAATTAAAAATAAAGCAAAACACAGAGGTGTCCAAGGAGAAACAGAAAGTTAATTTGTTATAGCTATAATTATTATTATTATTTCAAATCTCAAGATTTGGGTGGCCTCACCCCAATGGCTCTGATGACAGGAGACAACCCTCAGAGGTAGAAGTTAGTTTATATAACCTTGAAGGTTCAATTCCCCCTCCCTCACAACTGTCCGTTAACTCGGCTAAAAATGTGCCGTTAGGAAAATAATTTACAGTTGTTTTGGAAGGTCTCAGGGATTGAACAGATAATGCTGGGAACAGAGAGACATCTGAATAAGACCCTGTGAAAGGGAGATAAGGGGACTTGAACATTTAAGGGTTCAAAAGGCACATCTGGATAAGATCAGAAGGCAGGCCAGGGCTTAACAACTAGACAAATTTTAACTGCTAATATTTGGCACTAAAAAGAGAAGATCTTACAGTAATCTATTCTTAACCCTATCCTACCTTCTGAACTCACTGTCTTAATTACACTGAGAAGTCTTCACTGGGACATCCCATTCAGCATGATTCATCAGGAGTCCTTTGGAGTTGTAATTGGTTCCATTGTGTTGATCAGAGTGAGTAAGTCAAAGTAAATTATCTTCACAGGATCGTTGTTACAATACAAATTGTTTTCCTTGTTATGCTCACTGCACTTTGGATCAGTTCATACAAATCTTCCCAGGTTTTTCTGAAACATTCTCCTTTATAGTTTCTTACAGTACAATAGCATTTCATCATCTTTATATACCATAGCTTGTTCATCCATTTACCGTTACCCTTACCCCCCAGTTTCCAATTCTTTGCCACCACGAAAAAAGCTTCTATAAATATTTTTTGTACATATGGTTCTTTTTCCTCTTTCTTTGGTCTCTTTGAGGTGTAGACTTAGTAGTTAGGTGGCACAGTATATAGAGGGCTGGGCTTGGAATCAGGAAGATCTGAGTTAAAATCTAGTCTTAGATGGTTAATTAGTTGTTTGACCTTGATCAAGTCACTCAACTGCTATTTGTCTCAGTTTCCTCAACTATAAAATGGGTATAATAGTAGCACCTACCTCAAAGGGTTGTTGTGAGAAACAAATGAGATAATATTTGTAAAGTGCTTAGTGCAGTGGTTACCATGTAGTAGGTACTATATAAACACTAGCTATTATTATTATTAGTATTATTAGAGGTATCTCCGGGTCACAGAGTAGGTACCGTTTACTAACTTTGGGACATGGTTCCAAATTGTGTTAGAAGGGCATGTTGATGTGCTTTAATTTGGAGGGTCTACTTGAGTTCTTCATAGCATTTCTCTGTTTCTTCATCTTCTACAACAGATGCTGGTACATAAAGTGTCATTATTTTCATGGTGATCTTCTTGCAAATGTTTCTAATGATGACCGCATGTCTCTTGGACCAATTCCATCAAATGTTTATTTACCCCTCCAAGTTGAATCTGTGACCCATCCTTCCATGTAGCTGCAAGCTCCTTTTGTCTTATGATTCCAGTTATAGCAAGAATGCTGATATGGATATGATGCAACTCCTCTGAGTTGAGTCCTCCTGGCTCCAGGGCCAGTGCTCGGTCCACTGAGCAGTATGTCCACTTGGCTACTAGACAAGGATCTGAGATGTAAGTTCTAACAGCAACATCGATGTTTGTAAATTGCCTTAGAAATGTATAATTCTTAGCACCCTCAGTCTTCTTTTCTGCCACCCTCCATTGCCTAAATGGAAGGAAGTTGGCCAGAATACAGGGTTATTTTGTATTTCCCTCAAGTTTCCTGGATTGTCATGGTCAAAGAATTTGTTACCAAGGAGCTAGCCTGTTGGTGATAGACCTCTCTGTACTCAGTCAGGCTGGTTCTTTACAAAGTAGATGTAGAGTATTGCTTGGATTGTGTTAAAGCCTGATAGTGTCCTCTAGAGCTTATACTTTATTGGCACACCCTTTGACGGCTAGTGCTACCACTATGCCAAGGTGAAGTATCAAAGTAGGACTCTGTGGAGGGTCAAAAAATAACCTGCTAAAAATTCAGTTTTATTTACATCCTTTCTAATTATTTTTTGATCACTTTAAAATACAGGTTTCACATTCACAGTTTCTGTTATTCATGGATTGGCCCTCGATAATTAGATGGGAATTTTTGGAGATTTGCAGCATACTGCAGTAAATCACAGATGACTTGCATATGTAAAGAAAATTTTTAAAAATTTAGTAAGTCATAAGTGCATAAATTATATACATTATTAATCTATTTTATCATTTACTACTATAAGTATACACACACAAATTTATCATAAACAGTTAAATTTTGTTAAAAGTTTCAGTGTACTACTGCAAACTCTTTGGGAATGCCTCCTCTTTGTCTCTCTACCTTCCAGACTCAGTCATGTGATTTTCTCCCTCAATGAACTTTATATCTTGTGCTTTTTTTTTTTTGGCTAGGCAATGGGGTTAAGTGACTTTCCCAGGGTCACACAGCTAGTAAGTGTCAAGTGTCTGAAGCTGGACTTGAACTCAGGTCCTCCTGACTCCAGAGTCAGTGTTGTATCTACTGAGCCGCCTAGCTGCCCCTATTTTGTGCTTTTCTTAAGAAGGAAATCCTCCATGAAACAGTTGCTGTAGCTGCAAAGACTCTGCATAGTGTGTGAGATACTAATCTCTCTCACATAGAGATCTTGCATAGAAAATGCTACATTTTATATGGGTGAAGTGTGTTGTTTTACTTGTTTTCTGTGTTAAATAATTACAATCATAATTATTAAAAATAAAAGTTTGGGGTGGGACCTAGGGTTATTAGTGGTTTTTCACATTTGTGGGGAGCTCTTGCATTCCTAACCCTGTGACTATCAAGGGATGACTGTATATACATACATGTTAATGTAATTATTATCAGTGAATGAATGTGTGCTATTTTGAGTTCCGGTATTTTCAATGAGCATTATTTCATTTATATGTTTCCATATGTGCTACCCCCTCCCCCCAGACCCAATCCCTCCACTTTGACTCATACTTGCTAGTTGGGTTCCCAGAGTGGCAGCTGTTACTTCGAGTTCTAGGGTAGCCCTGTGGTTGGTTATCTTTCCTTACACTCTCTCACAAGTTCTTGCCGGTGTTCTTTCCTGGTGACAATCAACCTATAGACTTATTAACTAATAGAAGAGGCTTCTACTCAAATTACATGGCAAATGCTAGCCCTTACCATGTCCTCTCCAAGCCTGGAACACACTCTCCCACAAATATACATAACATCTCTTGGGAGGGAAGATGGGCACAAACTTATAGTGGTAGTTAGAGAAGACATACGGATGGTCAAGGCAACTCAGAACTCCTAAACTGTTTTTGTTGTTGAGTCATTTCAGTTATGTCTGGTTCTTTGTGACCCCATTTGAAGTTTTCTTGGCAAAGTTACTGAGGGGTTTACCATTTGCTCCTCCAGCTCATCTTACAGATGAGGAAACTGAGGCAAAAAGAATTAAGTGACTAGCCCAGGGTCACACAGTAAATATCTGAGGCCGGATTTAAACTTACGAAGAGGAGTCTTCCTGACTCTCGATCCAGCACTCTATCTTAAACTATAGGTCCTCAATCTCTTTTATGTTTTCTGTCTCCCTAGAGTCCTCATGAAATTCACTTTAGGGGTTGGTATGGGTAATAGATGAGTTGCACCTCTGCTCAACCAGGCTATCTCTTCACAAGATGTGGCATCTCTGTTGGATTGACCCTACCTGATGTTGGGTTCCACTACTAGGTTGCTAGGCTGGCTCTTCACGGGGCAAGGCGTTGCTGTTGTATTGGTGGATCTTCTATACCTCCTGGATTCACTCTTTTGGCAGCTGCTGCCTTCAGATTACTGTGTTGTTGGGTTTTTTTCCAACTAAGAATTTATAATGCCTTTTTTTCTTTTCAGGTGGAGTGCTACTTTTCAAAGAAAAAAAAGGTAGGTTGCAATTGTACAAGTGATTATTTTTCTGATATGTGTTCCCTTATAAGATAGTTCCATTGAGGTAATTTTCACAAATTTTGCATCCCTGGAGTGTTGAGATACTGATACTTGCTAAACTGACACTGCTGCTAATGTGAAAAATACAGAGTTTACGTCAAGAGATTCCTAGTGCTTGAGAAATGTTTATATACGTATATGTGTGTATATACATATGCATATACGTATATGTGTATGTGTGTGTTTTTTTTTAAACAGACCTAGACTATTTGTGTTATTGTGAGAGCAATATGCCCTGCAATTTCACAGGGCAAAGCACCTCTGTGCCTAGAAATCTAATATATAAACAAATATAATAATTTGTTATTTTTATGAGCTTTCATTCATCTCATTGGATGAGTTTGCAATCCCATCCCTGTTGCGATAGGGATTCACTGAGGGAAATGTGGGGTGCCTTTTGACACTTAAACTCAGAGGAAATTTGTCTAGTTCTCTATGCTGCAAGGACCCCTAGAAATGTTGGTGTGCCCTGTGAAGAATCTTCTTGCTCTTCTTCCTTCCTTTTTGAAGAGGACCAATGACATCAGGAGGGTGAGGTCTTGATTTGAGCATGAATTGGATATGAGTGAGGCAGAGCTGTTCAAAGTCTTCAGCCTCATTCTCTCCTCCGGAGTCAACAAAGTCCGATGGCAAGACAAAGGTCAAGATCACTGAAGATGGCCCAGGTTGCATTGGGAGACCTTGGCCTTTCTAAATTAAAGTCTTGGGGCAGCTAGGTGGGGCAGTGGATAGAGCACTGGCCTTGGATTCAGGAGGACCTGAGTTCAAATTAGACCTCAGACACATAACATTAGCTATGTGACCCTGGGCAAGTCACTTAAGCCCATTGCTTAGCCAAAAAAAAAAAAGAATTAAAATTTTTCCTGGGTCTGAGTTTGTCTGAGGCCAAGCCCATTCAACCATTAAAGGCTGAGTAAGAGTTGAGATGAAACATGGCTCAATTTACCATCACAAAGATATCATTGGGGCGGGAAAGACCCTCAGAGTTTCTGGACAAAACAGAAAACAATTGCTATTTATACTTTTTAAAAAAAAATTATTTCATTTTCAATTCACAGAATAAAACAAACATTTCCATAACACAATATAATAAAAAAAGATTGCACATGAAACTGCAAATCTATCATGTACAATTTACTATTCCCTCCAAATTTACAACAATTATCATGTAAATTTTTTTTCTCCCCTTCTCCCCTCAACGGCTACCATTAGACACAAATAGGCATATACACACATATACACATGTAAAATTATTCTATACATACTTCTATTTATTAGATCTTTCTCTGGAAGCAGGTAGCATCTCTCTTTCTATGTCCTTTATTTTTAATTTGTGTATTTATAATAGTCAAAATGACAGTCTCTTAACGTGATTGTTAAAACAATATTGCTAAACAGTGAGTCACAGAGACTTGAAATAGGGCACTTGATGTCCATTCAATGAAAGCCAGGGTAATTTGGGTTTTAAGGTGGAGTTAAATAGCTCCTTTTAAAACACAATGTGACTGGGACTGGTGCAGTGGATAGAGTACCAGCCTTGAAGTCAGGAGTACCTGAGTTCAAATCCATCCTCAGACCAAACACTTGACACTTACCAGCTGTGTGACCTGGGCAAGTCACTTAACCCCAATTGCCTAACAAAACACAATGTGCTTTTGAAAGCCTGTCTTTTCAGAGCTCTATTTCAAGAAATCAAAAATGAAAAGCACTCAGGGTGGAAAGTAAATTACCCCAGCTTTTTCAAAAAAAAAAAAAGGAAAGTAATAATAAATAAATGAAGGAGAAGAAATATCAGCAGTCCTCAACTTCTGCTTGAATTGGCCAATTGGGTCCCAGAGGGCAGTGACTGCTACTCTCAGAAAACATGGTAAAGACAGTTAATAGGAAACATTCTCCTAAGAACCTAGCTAACTCCTTCCCACAAATACAGCTTCCATGTGTGTGGGACAGTGACCCCAACCCAAATTAAACTCAGAGACTTCTCAAGGTGGAAAGCAAAGGTTACCTTTATTACAGTCTTGCGAGATGGCTGTCTGCTCCTTTGATACACATGGAAGAGAGAGAGAGAGAGAGAGAGAGAGAGAGAGAGAGAGAGACTGAGTAACAGGGGCCCGCCTTATGAAAGCAAATCTCTGCCCACCAAGCAAACAAGTTTCCACCCACCACTATCCCTTACCCCCTAACCTGGGGGTGGGCTTACATTCTAAGCTTGAAAGTTTCTTCCTATCCTCTTAACTGGGAGGTGATGCTTACATTCCAGGCACGAAATTCAAAGACAAGGAAAGAGGCGGGAAGCCAAGGGCAAATGGCTCAGGTTGGGGTGGGGCAGGGCTTCTTCTTTCTGTTAAGTGCTTAAAAACAGGGTCTCAGTGGGGGAGGATTTTGAAAGTAATAATCAAAAATTATTTGACCCTTTGAGGAGCCTTCACTTCTGAGAGTTCATTTCTCACACTACCTTCTGAACTCATTACCTTAATTACACTGAGAAGTCTTCACTGGGACATCCCATTCACATGGGAGAAGTAGGCTTAAACTTAGACCACCATCTAGACCAGTGAGGCACAAGTTTAAGAAATACGTGAGATGGAGTTGAACTCACAGTACCTGCTTGGGAAGTCCTTCTCTCTGTGCAGAGATGTCACACAGAATCCTTGTTGTGCTTCCTCCTTTGCTCGCAAAGAGGACCACTGACATCATGAGGGTGATGACTTGAGCATGAATTGGATATGAGTGGGGCTGAGCTGTGCAAAGTCACTAGCCTAACTCTCTTCTCCAGAGACCCCTGTGAAAAAAGATTTTGTCCAGATTCCAGGCAGATGACTCTATGAATAGAGGAAATTTTTCACCATGATTTAGCTATTCTCATCAGTACAAAGATCCAAGACGATTCCCAAGGACTTATGATGAAAAATGCTGCCTCCAGGGAAAGAACTGAAGGAATCTGAATGCACATCAAGCGTACCTTTTTTTTTAACTTTCTTTTTCTTTTCCTTTTTTAATCTGGGTTTTTTTTTTCACAACATGACTAATATGAAAACATGTTTTGCATGACTGCACATGTATAACCTATATCAAGTTACTTGCTTTCTCAATGAAGGGAGAAGGAAAGGAGGGAAAAAAAGAATTTGGAACTCAAATTAAAAAAAAATGAATGTTTAAACATTGTTTTTACATGTAATTGGAAAAAACGAAATATTTAAAAAAAAGTTTTTACCCAGGATAGTTTCCCCACCTACAAGTGAAGAAGTGATTCCCAGTCAATCCTAGTTTCTAAATCTCTGTGGGGAAAACTCCATGTAATCTGGAATGCTTTGTATGGATCAGGCTTCCATCTGAAACAAGAGCCTTTCTTTTCTTCATGTTTATGAACTGAGGAAGTCCAACTGAGCACCAAGTAAGGGCACCTATAAAGTACTAAGGAAGCAGTAATATTTGGAAAATGTGAAATGGTTGTTGCTTGTTGAATCTGCAAAACTTTCCATTGGGAGATAATGGTGAATTTTTGCTTATACATGTGGGACTATATGAGATCATGACACATTAATGGTTTTGAGACTCCTATATATTGCACTGGTCACCCAGAGACCACAAGGAACTTTTTTTGGACTGGAGATTTGAATAGTATGCTTAAAATGCCTCTTTGCCTATTTGCTAGGGCTGGCAAAATTTTCCAACAGTGGGGCGAGTGTGATGAGAGTTTTGTGCATGCCTAGATGACCAAGATAGGCATTACACATATGGAGATTGCTGGGGGAACTGCTTCTGAGAGACTGAAAAACTGTCCTATTCAGGAACATTTTCTGTTGGCTTATCACTTTGCTAGGAGTATCCTTTTTCTTTTGGTGCCAAAACCAGAACTTTCTGCATCTTCAAAACTTCCTGAAAGCATTGTAGGGATGTTTCCTGCATTTGTATTGGGTGACTTTTTTCACTTATAGCCAATTATGCCATGCAACAAGTGAGGAGAACTGAGGACCACCACCTTCCCTTCCCCCTATTCTCCTTAGGCCATGTGGTCCCCAAAATAAGCTTTGGCCTTTCATTTGTGCCTTTTCATTGTAGGTTCAAGAAGTGAGCCACGGGGGATCTGGGCATCTAGGAATCCAGGCTGGATGTTGCCAGAAACTCACACTGCCAGCTTTGGACTTGAACTTGAAGGGACTAGTGCTATGTAGGAACTGGGCTAAACTGAGAGTATAATCCCCCTTCTCTTCCCAGAGACTGAGGTGGTGTAGGGGGAGATCATGCCCCTGAGGTATTGAGGGGAAATGTTTGTACGTTTGTTCTTGCTATATCTTTGAAGCAAATACCCCTTCATAAAATATCTGGTGCTAAGTGATTAAATGGAACTGGGGTACTAGGGACTGAGCCCCTAAACTAGGTGGAATACAATTGATGGGGGGACAAAAACCAGAGAAGAGTGTTCCAAATCCCTTCAAGGCAGGATTTCTTAATTTTTTTCCACTGTAAGTGTTTCAGTAGCATTGTTGGTGTTATGGGGTCTGAGGGCATATGCAGTGCAAAGTGCGCATGCTTTGTGTTCAGAACCAAGGCTGCAGTGAAGTTGCCTGATGCATCTGGGCAAGTGGTAACAGAAACACCTTGGATTCATTACATGTTTGATTTTTAATTACTTATTTGTCATTGTGTATTCAAGAACCTCTTACTACTGCCAAATTTTTCTGTACCCCATATGGGGTCGTGACCCACAGTTTAAGAAGCGCTGCTTCAGGAAACTGGAGAATCCTATAGGTGTAAAATATAGCAGGCTTCATTCTTAGACAATGGGGCCAGTGCAACTCATGTTACACTTTGATCAAAGTTCTGAGGTTCTTGAGGCAACTAGGTGGCACAGTAGATAGAGCACCAGCCCTGGAGTCAGGAGAACCTGAGTTTAAAACCAGCCTCAGACATATAACACTTACTAGCTGTGTGACTCTGGGCAAGTCACTTGCCCATTGCCCCCCCCCCCCAAAACCCCAAACAAACAAAAAACAAAAACAAAAACAAAAAAAGTTCTGAGGTTCTTGAAAGATGTTTCCCCTTATATTATTTTTGTCATTGTTCTGGTTTTGTTCATTTTGCTCTACATCAATTCACATAATGTCTTCCTATGTTTCTCTGACTCACTCATACTTGTATTTTCTTATGGTGCAACAATATTTCCTTATATTCATAAGCCACAACTTGTCTAGCCATTCTCCAGTTGAGGAGGAAGTAATTTCTACCTTTAAAATTTAATTTTATTTTTCAATTATCATGAATTTATTTTTTTTCTTTCCCATCTTTTCTCTACCCCCATCTTTTCTTCACCTACCCTTCAGGTGAAAAACAAAGAAATAAACAAATAAAACTATTGTAATGAATAAATATAGTCAGGGGAAACAAATTCCCATATTAGCCATGGCCAAAAATGTGTGTCTCATTTTGCATATTAGTTTATTACCTGTCAGTCTGGAAGTGGGCAAGATTCTTCCTCTTTGGAATCATGATTGATCAGTAATTATATTAATCAGAATTCTTAAATCTTTCACTATTGTTAGCTTTACAATGTTGATGTTATAATGTGAATTGTTTGCCTGATTGTGCTCATTGTATTTTGTTTCAGTTCATTTATGTCTTTATGGTTTCTTTGAAATTGTCTTCTAAAATTTCTTATAGTACACTAATAATTCCTTTACATGCACATATCATATTTGTTCAGCCATTCCCCAAATGGTGGGCACCTCCCTGAATTTCCAATTCTTTGCTGCCACAAAAAGTAGTGCTATAAATATTTTTGTAGATAAAGGACTGTTTCTTCTTTTTTTGATCACCTTGGAGTGCATGCTTAGTAGTGGTATTGCTGGGTCAAAAGGTATGCACATTTTATTAACTTTATATGGACATAATTCCAAATTGCTTTCCAAAATGACTGCATCATTTCACAGCTCTACCAACAATACATCATTGTGCCTAATTCCCCATAACCCCTCCAACATTTGTTGTTTTTCCTTTTTTGTCAACTTTGCTAAATCTGGTGTGATATAGAACTTTAGAGCTGCTTTAATTTTGCATTTCATATGGCTATAGATAGGCTAAATTTCTTCCCTTGAAAACTGACTGTTTATGTCCTTTTAAGTTATCAATTAGATAATGGCTCTTATTTTTGTACAGTTATCCCTTCCACAGGGAGGAGGTTGGGGGAGTAGTGTGTTGTTCCCCCCCCCAACCTGGAAAATCCACCTACATTTTTTTGGACCTCCTTTCATACCAGAGAAGTCTGAATTATTATACCATTAAAAGATACTATGCAATACTATACACATTTTATACATTTCTAAGTTTCTGAACTTTTTCCTCTGTCATCTGCTGATCTTTTTGTGTCATGTCTGCAAAACTCCCCCAAATTCCTATTTAATTTCATATGCCGACCTGTGATATATCGAAACCATAGTGGGGAAAGTCACGATGTGGAAGGGATAACTGTAGATTTGATTTAGTTCTTTATATGTCTTAGAAATAAGACCTTTATCAAAGAAACCTGCTGCAAAGGTTTCCCCCCCTACTTAGCTGTTTCTCTTCTAATCTTAGCTACATTGGATTTTCTTTACAAACCCTTTTACAATTTTTATATTTCCCTTATTCTCTTGTATTTTTTCCTCTCTTTCTTCCCTGCTCTCTCTTTACAAAGAAAAGAGGCAAGGAAAAGAAGTGTACTCAGGATCAATGCTCTATATTTGATGCAAATAACTTCTACTCCCTCACTCTTCTCTTTCATCACCCAGATCCAATCACAAGGTCTTACCTTTTCTTTAAAACCTCTCTTCAATTTCTTTTTGTTGAGTTTAAGGCTTCTTTTGTTTATAACTAATCCTTCCTAGATCTGCTTTCCCTCTTATTGACCCTTTTCCTTTCTCCCTGTTTCCTTATTGAATCGAATTATTTCTACACCAAACTCCATATGAAGTGTCTGTGTTTTTATCTCCTTTGATCAGTTCAGATGAAAGTGAGGTTCAAGTGGCACCTGACCTTCCCACCCCTTCCTTGTACTTTTTCCTTGTTCCCCCCATTATGTGAGATATATCCCCCATTATTCTCTTTTCTTTACCTATTATATCCTTTCTTCTCCTCTCTTTCCTTTCTTCTTTAAAAAAAAAATCAAAACATAACAAAAATCACTCCCAGCCCCTCCACCTTGGTAGTCTCCCTTCATGATCCCTGATGACCTTACAGTTCTTAAGGGAGGTTTGTATGATCCCCCAACCCCTTAGAATACAAACCCTTCATCCTTTTAAAGTCTTTGCTGACTGCTTGCTTATATTTACCTTTTCTCCCCCATGTTTTTCTTTACTCCTGTGTTTGTATTTCAAAGTTTCTATTCAGCTCTGGGCTTTTCTATTTCATTAAAGGTCAAATTTTTTTTTTTCCTCTGGAGGATTATATTCAATTTTTTCTGAGTAAGTTATTCTTGATTGTAAGCCTATTGCTTTCACCTTTTGGAATATCTTATTCTATGCTCTCCACTTCTTTATAGTGAGATAAACTGATATTACACTATTATATTAATAACTAATTATTAATTTGTGATCCACCCTTTTACTTTTATTTCTGTTAAGACCCAACTCCTGGAAAGGTCAGTCAGCCTCTGAAGGCCATGCCTGAGTGGTGAAATTACTCCTATCCCCCAAGGCACATGCTCTGTTAACTGGGTTGGACCCCATCCAACTGGGAAACCTCATTTCTGTTTAGAGTATAAACAGAGTCTAGTCTGGACAAGCTTTTGTTTAGATGAAGAACCCCCTGTCCTAGTTCCCCTCCATTAGAGTTTAGGGCAACCCAACTTATGAAGGAGACAACTAGCCAGAGAGGTCAGGACGGAAATAGCTTCTCCTAGCCAGAAGCCTTGAAGCTGCTAAGTCTCATGATCAATCTGAGTCCTCAGCAGAAGGAGCTGAAGACTTTTAATTTACCTCCTCATTACATGTCCACCATTCATGGTTGAGCTTCACTTTTCAGGGGAGTTCCCTTTCAGAAGGCATTTACAGTGATTCGGAATCTCCCTTTGGGTCTTTTGCTTACCTAGAGAAATCACTGATCATCAATTTGTTGATTGCCAGCTAGTCCAATTAATAGGTTATTAATTACCCAGAAACTCCATCTCTTGGGGTTTTCTTTCATCATATAGTGGTAGCTGCCAAATCTTATATGATCCTAACTGTGATTCCTCAGCACCTGAACTTTTTCTGCCTTGCTATTTGCAACTATTTTATTATTATTATTTAATCCAGAAGTGTTAGATTTTGGCTATAATGTTCCTGGGAGTTTTCATTTTGATGTTTTGTTCAGTAGGCAACTGGTAAATTCTCTCTATTTCTCTATTTAGATCTGGATAATTTTCTTTCGTGATTGCTTGAAATAAGATATCTAGTATCTTTTTTTCGTAATGACTTTTAGGTAGTCCAATGATTCTTATGTGTCCTTGATATGTTTTCCAGATCAGTTTTCTTCATATGAGATTCTTTAAATTTTCTTCTGTCAATCTTTTGACTTTGCTTTAATGCTTCTTTTTGTATTGGTCCATTCTAATTTTCAGGAGTCTGTTACTTGGGTAGGGTTTTGTACCTCTTGGCTAAACTATGAATTCTTTTTCCAATTCTTTTTTCCATAGCTCTTATTTCTTTCCCAATTCTTTCTTCTGTTGCTCTCATTTTGTTTATAATACCAGTTTTAACTCTTAAAAAACTCTTAGCGGCAGTTAGGTGGTGCAGTGAATAGAGCACCAGCCCTGAAGTCAGGAAGACCTGAGTTCAAATCCAGCCTCAGACCAAACACTTGACACTTACTAGCTGTGTGACCCTGGGCAAGTCACTTAATTCCAATTGCCTAAAAAAAAAAAGCAAAAAAAAAAAACCTCCTGCCATTTCTAATTGATCTGGGAGGTATGGGTAGGTCAAACCATTTTCTCTTAGAGGCTTTGCTTGTAGGCATTTTGTAGTTATTCTTCTCTTCTGCATTCATGTCTTGGGCATTCCTGGCATCATATTATCTTTTTGTTTGTTTGTTTTGTTTACTTTTAGTGATTTATTCTAAATAATCTGGTATTGCTGACCTAGCTGAGAACTCTAAGGGCTAAGTCTGTGATTCTGGCCCTTTAGGAGGCCCCTAATTTGGTGTCTTAGATGGGCATTCAGTCTATGATCTGTTCTGGATGACCTCATGTTCAACACTCTGGGCACTATTGGACTGGAGGGTGGGTGAGGAATACTAGATTAGCTCTGGGTACCCCACATTACTGGCCTAGCTCAGAGTTCTAGGCACTGAGTTCCTGGGACTCAGGCTCTTCTGGAAGACCTTGTGCTGTTAGCATGGACCCAGGACTAGGTCTATGGTTTTTCGTGATTTTCTTTCATCACTCTCATTTCTCTTCCCAGTTTTTCCTCTACTTCTCTTACTTACTTCTCAAAATCCCTTTTGAGGTCTTCCAAGGCCTGGGACTGATTCATATTTTTCTTAGAGGCTTTGGATGTAGGAGCTCTGACTTTGTTGTCTTCTTCTGGTTGTATGTTTTGATTTTCTTTGTCACCAAAGTAAGATAATATAGTCTGACACTTTTTGCGCTGCTTGCTCATGATCCCGGCTAATTACTTGAGTTTTAAACTCTTTGTTAAGGTAAGAGTCTGCTTCCAATGTGGAGAATGTACTGTCCCAAGCTTCGGGGATTTATATAGCTGTTTTCAGAGATACTTGTAGGTACCTGTAAATTTTCAGTTCTTGCAAGGTGGTATGATAAGGGGCGAGGTGTTTACTCCTTTCCTGGCCTGTGCTGTGGTCTATTAGTGACCACAAGCACTCCTTTCTATCCTGGAACTGTGAGGAAGGTTTCCTGTCTACAGCCACTACAAGCTCCACTGTGCCA